TCTGTAAAGTCACACAGGCTGTCCACAAACACACGTTTTAAATGAGACAAACGTGTCACACAGCACAGCAACACAACGTTATTATTAACCTGTAAACTGAGTCGTCTTTACAGTCGTACTTTAGCTATGGCCGTATTGTTGTGTGGTCATAGACTCAGCCATAGCTACATAAGTAACACTGCTGTCACAGTTACACAGTGTATGAAGCAGAAGAAACGTTTTCTCAGAGAGGATTCATTAAGTCGGCCCCAATTGTTGCGGCGATCCATCAGAGGACATTTAGCTACCCCAGTGTGGGAGAGTAACGACTCCTCGGGGAAGATCATTTCAGCTCAGGGCAAACGTCAGGGTAGGAACGTAGATCGACCACTAAACCAATAGCTTTGGTTTCATGCTCAGCTCTCTCTTTACCACAGCAGACCAGTACAGGCACCTGCTGCCCATTCATAAAATGATCATAGTAAAGCATCAGTACACTGAGAGGTAGCTGCTGTTTCTGTTTAAACAGATTTTTGTATTCTATCCAGGAAGTTTACAAGGAAGTAAAGCAACCTTCAAACTTTGTTAACTGCCAGAAGTCAAAGCTCAGCAAGTCCTAACAGGTCGTGTTACAGGAGTGAAAGGTCAGCAGTCTGTAGAGCTGCAGAGTGAGTGATTGGAGGAACCAGGAACCTGCACCAGCTGTTAGCACAACTGGTGCAGGTTCCTGGTCTGTGATTTCTGGGAAGAGACGCTGTTACTAACAAGACTGTCAGTCAAGACACAGACGCATAACATATCCAGGATTACAAAATAAAACAGGAAGTGACAGTGACCGTAACTGAATTAGATTCGAGCTTAACCTCTATCTATCAGATCTTTGGTGAACCAGTCAGGATCTGGCTGTTTTTTCCCACATTCATATTTGACTTTCCAAATGAAACAATATTTTTCTTACAGCACTTCAGTTATTTAGTGTTTCCTGCTCCTAACTTTTTCCCTCTGCTTTTGCTTTTAGGCTGCAAATCTGGCTATGAATCCAACGGACAACTTAATGGAGGTAATTCTGCAGTGAGGTCAAAAAGATCTATGATGACACGATTGGAGGGTCACAGCTCCACAGTTGATTCTTGACTGAAGAGCTTTGCTTTGTTTCTGGTGTAGATCAGCCAGGAGGTGAAAACCATGCAGACCAACAAATGGAGCTCCAAGAAGGTAAGAAGGGGGGAGGCGGTCCTGGTGCTCTCACAGCAGAGGTTCAACATCTGGAACGCCTGGGAAATGGTGACATATTTGGAAATATATGGTAGAGACCATGATGGTGTTACCAACACTGTGCAGACGGCTATATTTCAAAATGAAACTCGTCATGGAGAGAAGGAACCCTAACCCCTGAAATCAGCTCAAAGGGACTCTGGTAGTCATGCAAAGAGTGATCCTGCAGCATGAGAGTCTCGGAGCTCTCACATCCAAAGACAGCGTGTCACATGTCACAGTGTCACAGTTCTTTAATGTTTGTCAACCATTGATTCTTTGATTTTGTTAGAATCTCAAGAGGCAGCAAATGAAGGGAGCAGAGACGACGAGTTCCACAGGATGAAGGTTTGGACTTTGGCTCACTCACAAACACAATGAGATAAGATGACTGACACACTCAGCAGCTACACTCTGATGTGCTGTTTCCACAGATGATGCACATCGAGACAACGAGGACCAAAACCTTCTAGATGGAGCAGGTAGTGTTTGTGTCTGTGGTGCACCGAGGTAGCAGACATTGACAGTCTGTAGAAATATGAATAAAAATGTAATTTTAGCACTTTGGTCACACCTTAACTGTTTGAGTCCACTGTGATGGTGAACAGACACTGAATAGAAAAATGAGAAGTATTTGATGTCCAGATACTTACAGCTCTAACTGTGCTGCACACACTCTGGTGAAGAGGATTAAAACCTGCATTCATCTGTTTCACAGTCGAGAAATCGCTGTTGGATCGTTTCTGAAAAAAATGTTTTGTCTGCTTTTCTTTTAGAAAACCAGGAGCACCGCCCTGCAGGTGGTGCAGAGCAAGGCGGAGGCAGCGTGCACGCAAACACAGACTAAACTGAGGATGGGTTTATTGTTCGACTGCACTCACACACGCTGTGAGCAAGACGACGGCTGTGCGGCCGACACACCAGAGGCGTCGGCAGAGTCGTTTCCTGAAGAGTTTAAACCTTTTTATTTGCACAGTTCAGTTTAAAACGACCTGTTATTGGCTCTTTCTTAGTGCCAACGAGTTCTTCTCCAGGCTGACTCAGTGAAACCTACAGTAAAACCAATGAACGATGCAGAGAGCGGGCGGTGCTGTCACCACTGTGTGAACATCAAAATGACCGAAAATGTTCTGTTTGAGCTCTGCTTTTGCCTCAAGACGCCAAGAACGATGAAACGATCAACTGTGCGCCGGTGAAGCTGCTGTGACTGACTGAGCTCAGCTTTCCTCAAGCAACAAAACAAGGATTTTGCGTCTTTACTGTTTTCCAGCTGAACAGGGTCCGATCAGCTGCACTGTTTTCTTGTTTGTCACTTTATTTAAAGATTGTGAACTTTAAGAGTCTACAATCCAGAATTTCATAACTTAATGCTGTTTTAGATGTTAGCTGACATCTGCTGTATGCTGTAAATACAGATTAAAGGAGGCTGAATCCATCTTTGCTGTGTGAGAATGAGGAGCAGTGATGACTAATGATGATGACGATGATTCAGCAGCATGTAAATGGAGTGTTGCTATGAACATGTTCACAGCAGTTTTACTCCTTCACTTCATCTTTTATATATTTATTTATACATTTTAATTTGTGTGCATTCGACACACAGCTGGTACAGTAACACACTGACAAACATGGAACACTGGAAATTTAGGGACAGAGGGGTGAAAGAAGCAACAGGACAATTTATGCATGATCCATGTGGTCAGATGTTCATATGCTGTGCTCACTGATCCTCTGAAACAGTAATACTGACCAGGGAGCAGAAAGGAAGCAACGTTTTTGTAGGTAATTTCAGATGCATCAGCTTAACAAACAAACTGTTTCTATGCTGTCAGTGTGTCTGACAGCTAAAGGTCCAACTCACAGAGAAACGAAACTAACTCCACTCAGAGATGGAGAAAGATGAGAAAGGAAGGAGAGAGCTTCGGGTGCTCATTTAAAGCTTACATGTCAGTCCTCGTGTTTTTGAATCAGTCCAACAGCGTAACGATCAGAACTGTCAGAGTTATTTTCCCAACTGGACCATTACAGCCTTTCTTATAATGGTCCACGAGTCGGAATCTATTAAAGGTTTTTATTTATTTTTTAAATTTTGAGTTTGTACAACCACAATGTAGGAGACCGGGGGACGGAAAAGAGAAAGGAGAAAGGGGAGAGGAGACGAGGCGAGGAAACGAGGCGAGGAAACGAGGCGAGGAAACGAGGCGAGGTGAGGAGGCGAGGTGAGGAGAAGAGGCGAGGAGACGAGGCAAGGAGAAGAGGCGAGGAGACGAGGCGAGGAGACGAGGCGAAGAGACGAAGCGAGAAGATGAGGCGAGGTGAGGAGACGAGACGAGGCGAGGAGACGAGGCGCACCCCCGTCTGCGGTTACGCCAAAGCACTTTCCCCACGCTGAGCCCTTACAACTGATGTTAGGCTCCCCCCACCCCCCAGTGCCACAAAACCCCCGAATGTACTCATTTTTCTGTTTACATTAATATAGACACAAGGTTCAGTTCCCTTTGCATCAAACCAGCGGAGCTATTTTTTATTTCTTATGTTACATTTCAGAGCCGGTATGTTTTTACTTGAGTAAAGAGGTTGAATCAGTACTTCAGCTTTTACTGGAGTATTCTTTAAATGTACTTTTGCCACCTCTGGTTATTCCATACTTGTTGGAATTTCACAGGATTTTGGATAACTGGTGCTACATATGCGTTGGTTCACTTTGGAGCCTCATTTCATCCTAAAACTAAAGGAGAGTTTAACAGGATATTTAAAGAACATGTTGAGTTTGTGTTAGCTGCAGACACACAACCAGCAGGACCTCCTTTAATGATGCTTCCAGCTGCAAACATCACATTTCAGGGAGACTTCACTGTAAACACAAAGGCCTGTCACACCTGCTCTCCGGCGTGTCGACTCTCTCTGCTCTGCACGTGTCCACGACCTAACACACTTACAGTCATCACCACCACAACAGCAACACAACGGGCAGCTAGTGGTCACAAAAGCACCGAGCACTCACGGCGTTTCCACTGAACCTCGTCTGGAGCCCGAGAGCGTCTCCTCACTCCTGGTTATGGATTACAGATGACATCATGACCTCGGTTCTTCTGAAGAGTCCGTGTGACTGTTGTAAAGAAATGTACAGTAATAAATGTGCATGCGTCCTCTGTATGTATATTTATATTAACTGTGTTAACACAAAGTGACGATCAGATTACTGTAAAGAATCAATTAATCTGCTGTTCAGCACAGACTGGGATTAAAAGTTATAAATATTACTTTCAGTTACTTCTAAATTATATCTTATTTGTGTCATGGTGACACACCTGACAGCACGTATGTCCTTCCTGTGGTGATGTCAGTACGATAAAATCAGGAATCCCTAACATGTGAGGACGATCAGCTCCAATCAGCTCAGGGGAATTTAAACCTGGACATCTGTGGGACTGAGTGACCCTCAAGGTGACCCCTTTTTAAATTTTTTCCCATCCATCCATTCATTCGCTTCCGCTTGTCCTTTTCAGGGTCACGGGGGCGCTGCAGCCTATCCCAGCTGTCATAGGGCGAGAGGCGGGGTACACCCTGGACAGGTCGCCAGTCTGTCGCAGGGACAGACAACCATTTGCACTCACATTC